GAGAGCATTACAGTAGTCTAGTCTCGAGGTGACCATCGCGTGGATCACTGTGGCCAGGTTGTTGCGGTCGAGGAAGGGAACCAACTGCCTAATCAGCCGAAGATAGTAAAAGGCCGACTTAGCAGTGGCTGCTCCCTGGACCTCCATTGTTAAGGAGGTATCCAGGAGCACTCCCAAGCTCCTAACCCCTGGCGCTGGCACCAATGGCACCCCACCGAAGGTCAGGAGTGGGGTCCCCGCCCCCAAACCACCCCGACTCATGCACAGGACCTCTGATTCAGCTTCATCCGGCTCAGTCTCAGCCAACCAGCCATGACTTGTAATGCCCAGTCCAGATCTGAAGTCCGACTGGCCGCCCAACATCAGATGGAGCTGGGTGTCATCAGCGTACTGGTGACACCCCAGCCTATACCTCTGGGCTATCTGGGCAAGGGGGCGCATATAGATGTTAAATAGCATCAGGGAAAGCACTCCACACTCCAGCGGGTGCCTCCTGGACTCCTGTTCCCCTAGTGCCACCCTTTGTCCCCGACCTTGGAGAAAGGAAGCATGCCCCTGAATTCCCATGTCTGTGAGGCGGTGGGTCAGTAACTGATGGTTGACCATGTCGAACACAGCCAACAGGTCCAACAACGGCACTACCGAACCGCCCCAATCCAGATGCCTCCAGAGATTGCCAGTCAGAGCGACCAGTGCCGTCTCCGTCCTGTGTCCCAGGCGAAAGCTGGACTGGAAGGGATCTAACATGGAAGTGTCATCCATAAAGCCCTGTAACTGTATCACCACCACCCTCTCAATTAAGAAGAAGAAGAAGAGATTGGATTTATACCCCACCCTTCACTACCCAAAGGTGTCTCAGAGCGGCTTACAAACTCCTTTCCCTTCCCCTCCCCACAACAGACACCCTGTGAGGTAGGCGGGGCTCAGAGAGCTCTTGACAGAAACTGCTCTTTTTCAAGGCCAGCTCTTATCAGAACTACGGCTTGCCCAAGGCCATCCAGCCAGGTGCAAGTGGAGGAGTGGGGAATCAAACCCAGTTCTCCCGGATTAGAGTCCGCGCGCTTAACCACTACACCAAACTGGCTCTTTAATTTGCCCAGATAGGAGATTGGAATGTCGGGTGAGTGACTTTCTCCCAGGACCTCATTAAGATTGCTCCTCTCTCATCATACCCTGCTGATGTGCGACTGAAGGTACTTGTGTGTGTGCATGTAATTTACGATAGGTTATAGCACATACAGATATCCCTGGTACCTGTGCATACCCAGTTAACAGGGAGTATTTTAACCACTGGTCTGGATGTCTGGTCATGTGTTTCAGAGTTTTTCAGGACACATGTCTGGCTACATGTAAGGCCCATTCAGATAGTTTCAGAGGGTAGCCAGGCAGGTGGTCTGCAGTAGAAGAGTTAGATTTGAGCCCAGTAGTACCTTAGAGACCAACAAGAGTTTCAGGCTTTGAGGTTTCAAGAATCAAAACTCCCTTTGTCAGACACAGTAGAGTAGAAATATAGATCTGAGTCCTTTTATCCTAGTCAGAAGGTGGGAGGGGTATTATAAAGGAAGCAGAGGTAGAATGCATATTGTAATCAGCTTGATTGGAGCAGTGGGGAAATGCTTGAGGGAAGAAAATCAGCATCCTTAGTGAGATAAAAATCTTGTGTCCCTATTCAGCCCTGGGGCTGATCCACATGTTATCTGTTGGAACATCATTATTAGGTATGCAGTAATTCTTGTTTCTTTCATACCCAGGAGCAATCCTGGCTTAGCTCCAAACACAATGGTAACAGAGCTGGTCTACAGAATGTCATCCAACTTATTTATTACTATTGATTGAATTATGTTTACCCCTCCTCTTCTCTTGGCTCAATTTGCATGCATGTAGATATGAACATGGTGTTAGACCATAACCCTCTCTCTCTTTCTCTAAGTACTGTGTGATGAACTAGCCACCTGGGTTGGGTTCAAGAGCTAAGTACAGCTTGCTGTTTGAACCTGAAAGCCTGGCACAGGCCTGACAATGGCCTAAAATAAAGGTCTGATGATCAGAAGGGTAGGGCTGGGGCCCAGGTGGAACTTGTTGGACCCAGTGTTGCTTGAGTTCCTGAGGTGCAGAAGGGGGGTGTCCTGTGATCACTGCAGTTACATCTTGAAGGATAAGTTAGATGGGGAAGATGAGCTCTTAAATTAACCTACTGGTTTCTTCATTAACAGCCCCCATTTGCTATGGAAACCTTTTTCAAAAAGCACTTCAGGAAGAAGAATGTGTCATCAGGGCCCCGGCGTAGCAGTGTGGTGGCCCTGCCTGCCAGCAAAGCAAGGCGGCGCTCTGTTGTGGGCCAGGCCTCTGCCATGCTAGTCCAACGCCGGCGCAGATCCAGTGCCCAGCTACAAGGGCTATCGTGCTTGGGCTCCCAGCGCAAGCCTAGGTTGAGTGCCCGAAGGCGATCCAGCACCACAACCCCTCATCTCAGCCCTAGGTTTTCTGTCCAGAAGAAGCGTGGGGGCCACGTACGCACCATAGACACTCATCTTTTAGGCCCCTCCATTCTGCTGGCCAGCCTCATTCAAGTGTGTGAGGAAGAGGAAAGGAGGCAGTCGCCTTGTACTGAAAGCTCCGGCCCAGAAACTCCTGAGGAGGGGCTAGAGGAGAGTGACCAGAGTGAGGAAGCGGCCTCCTCAGGCTCTGAAGGCGCTATCTTGACAGCAGAGCAGGAGAGGAAGGAGCTGCAAAGAGAGCCTCCACTGTGTGCCTGTCACCCCGGGCAGAATTCCACTGGCCTGAGGCCTCTCCTCCGAGGCCCTCGCTGCCTGCGCCGCAGCTCCTCCCACCTCCTACCTGCAGAGTTTGTACACAGCAAAGCAGCCTATGGGCTTCAAGGCAGCTACAGATGTTTGAGCCAACAGCGGCGGCGCTCCAGTGATTCTCCCAAGCCAGGTGCTTTACTCCATCCTGTCAGAATGCGGAGAGCTGCCAGGAGGTGGAAGGTGCCTGCTGGAACCAGGTGGCTGTCGGCAACTGCACACATGTTCCTGGGAAACGATTCTGTCCATAGTGGCTGTCGCACTGACTTCTCTGAAGGCTGCAGTGCCCAAATGCCGTATGTAATCTCTAAGAGGAGGGATATTTATGTTGTGTTGTGTATGAGATGGAGTCTGGGGAAAGTGGCTTCAGTAACCAAGCTAGCTTCGGTTAAGGAGCAGGGTTGGCGGAACTTCTTCCACACTCGGTCAGGGGCAGGTTTTATAAATGGCATGAATGGAGGGGGGAGTTGAGAGGACCAACACACTGGGTTGTAACAAAAACACTCACTGAAATTCATTTTATTTTGGGAGCAACATGGCCAGAGCTGTTTTGAATTTTCCCCCCTCTGATGGCAGGCTTGATGAAAGTTTTGTAACATTTCTCTCTCACTCTTTGCACAAGGAGCTCCTAATGAGGTCAGTCAGTCTGTAAGGGAATGAATTGCCCAAGGCCATCCAGTGAGCTTTGGTGATTTTAACTTGGGACTTCCATGCCCAGCACTTTAACCGCTAGACTTTACTAGTTCTTTAACCATCTAGAGCTTCACTTCCTTTTCTTACATGCTGTTTCCTGCTTTCCTCAAATGACAGTGTCTGGAGGTTGATCAGGAAGGGAAGTGAATAAGAGTGCCTGAGGTGCCCCGAGGTGAAAGAGACAGAAGTCTTTGTGCATCTTACTGCAGAGCCTAGTTAGGCAGACAGGTTACTTAGCACCTTGGCCTACAGTAACCAGTGGTAATTTAACTTATTTAACTTTCAATTTCTAGACCGCTCAACCCCCGAAGGGCTCTGAGCGGTTTACACAGTACAATTTGATTACATTACATTACAATTTAATTACATTACCTCGCTAGGGCCACACATTAAGGGGAGTTTGACTGCCTATCAGGCACCCGTGGCAGGGTCTTGATTGTTGTTACTGCGGAAGTTCTTTAGTCCCGGGTGACGACGTTTTTTCGGCGCAGATTTTCTTTTGATCGCAGCGACTCCTTCCGGGGATGGTCCCTCAGTGCACGACAGTGCATGCTGACTCAGCTGGCCTCTGTCCTGATTGGCTCCGGCCTGCCACTCTTAACGGTGGAGAAGACAGAATCTTTCAGTAAGCCCTCATACCAGATGTCTTGGGGTGAATACTCAAAAATCACCAACTGAGGGTTTAATATCCCTTAACCAATTTTAATCATTCCTTTTTTATACATGTGGGAAAGAGTTAAAGAGTGACAAAGACAGGATATTAGCATTTATTTCACTACACATTTATAAGTGGAGTATTGAGTCTAATCTTTTTGTGAGGAGGGAAAAAATGGATCATTATGGTTTAACTTTGATTCATCTACGATATCTTTATATGCTTTTTAATCTCTCCCCCCCCCCCCCGGTGTTTGAGAAGCAACAGGGAAATCTGGGTTGACTTCTCAGAAGTCACGGCCTGGATAGTTGTGCCTTTTCGTCTATTTGAGAGAATGGCAGTCTTTTTCCGGGGTCCTTCTACTTTTAGAGGAGAGATTCAGGACCCTTCCACACTTGAGGATTGCCACCAGCAAGCTGCTTTTGATTTTGAACCGAACCTCTGCAGATGTTGTCTTCACAGGATGTGTTTGCAGTGGCATGGTACAAAATGCTCCATCCACGTAGTGTGCTGCTGCCAACAGACAGCTTGCTGTACCTTAGCAGTTGCCTTGTGGTGTGTTTTTAAAGTGCCTGAACATTATAGGCTGGATTTCCTGCCACTAGGATAGGTGGACAGTGAGACCTTTGTCTACTGCTGAGTAAATATTGCCTGTTCTGCAGTTTGGGAGGATTTCTGTCTTCCTCTGTGCTGCTTCCCAGGGCCGATGCTAACTCATAAAATGTCTTCTCCCCTTCTGTCCCTCTTTAGCATGCTGCTTCCAGAGGAGCTGTGAATATTGCTTGTTTATTATTACTATTATTATCTGCTAAAATGTTTATACAGCCACGCTTCTTCCTGTCTTTCAGAAAAGCTATTGCCAAATCCGGTCTCCAGCATATGGTAGCTCAACCAATCCCCACACTAGCCCTGAGAAGGGACTCAGAGAGGGAAATTCGCAGTACTGTCGACTGGAGTGTAAGTGTCTTCTCTTCCTCCTGGGTGAAGGAAGTGGGAGGGTGATGAGTTCCTTGTACCACTGACACAGCAGCAGGCCTCCGATGTCCACTGTGAGGGCATATGGGTTCACAGTGCAGTGTAGGTCTTCTGGGCTGGGGCCAGGCATATCTCCAGGAGTGAACAGACCTATAGCCAAGATGCTTCCCGTGGTCCTGAGTGTAGTCTGTGCTACAGTGCACAGCCAGCAGCATGGAGAGCTGCCATGTGGATAGACGTCATAGCATATAATCTGTTAAAGGACAAATATGACCCAGATTTTGAAGCTCTTCCTCTTTTGCCATATGAATATGCACTTAGGAAAGCCTTCCCAAATCTGTATGTGACATTATGTGCAACTGAACATAGGAGGCCATTCTAGACTTCTTTTTTTTGGTGAGTATTTTTGTGTGGGTGATGGTTGACTTCTGACAACCCCTAGTGAGGCTTGGACGTTTCAGAGAGGTGGCTTGCTATTGCCTGCCTCTGCCTCCCGGCCCTGGTATTCCTTGGAGGTCTCCCATCCAGGTACTTTCCAGGGTCATCCCTGCTTAGCTTCTGAGATCAGATGAGATTGGGCTTGCCTGAGCTATCAGGGTCAGGTCACCATTCGATACTTCCTGTTGGAAAGCTCCATAGCTTTGGAATCTTTCATCTGGTAGATGCGTGCAGTAGACAGCCTTGCCCGAGGTAAGAGGCAGCCAGACTGATCACATGAGTTTCGCTGCCCTAGGTTCATCTCAGTGGCAGCCATAGATGGGTACTGACAAGGGAAACTCGCAACAGGAAGACACCACGTCATGCAGCCAGTGTTTGCACACATAATGGTATTACTGTGGAATCTCACCACAAGGAAGTTGCCGTGACATAGTCAAGTGTGTTTTGTCTGCCTTGATTATTATCTTTTAATGGAAATTTCTCCTAAAACAAATAAGCTAAATACATAGACCTGTCCTAATTCATCCTTTTGGCTGGGTTGGAGAGTATAATTTAGACCTCCTGGAGAAGATGGCTGTGGTGAAAATCGCAGCCAAGCCCCAAACTGAGTATAAGATTCCATGTCTCCTAAAGAATAACATCACTGACTCTGTCTTTCAGGAGACTGCAATTTATGGGGACCACATATGGTTTGAAACCAACGTCTCTGGGGACTTCTGCTATGTAGGAGAACAAAACTGTATAGCGAAAATGCTGGTAAGTCTTTGTAAGAGGCTGTTACTGGCTGCTCCACGTGGAGGCTTCTGTCTGCTTTGGCCTTCAAACTGGAGTGGGTTGGTTGGTTGGTTTTTTCTTTGAACATCCATACAAACTTGTGATCTTGCTCTGGTGGGGAGGGCTTCCTGACATGGGTGATTTGTATCTGTCCATTGAGGAGGCAGGACTAAAATTCTTCCAGACTTCCTGTCTCATGGGCGGAGTCACCCATTTTCCTCAGTTTGTTTCCTGCTTCACTAAGGAGACCATAGTTTGGTAGGATATGCTCAGCAAGGCCCCTATGACTCAGTAGAAGGCACCCAATACTCCTGCTTCTATGTTTTTATACCTACTTCTTCTAATTTCTTTATTGTATACCTTGGTTCCTCATTTTGGCCTACTCTTGGACCCCACCCAAAGGGCAGACTGGCTGAGGCAATGGAGGACATGGAGAACTTTGACAAAGCCTCAGATGGCTTAATTCCCAAGGACGACAGTGACCCCCTTGTCCTCCCTGAAATGGGAGGAAGGGACTACTCCCTCACACAGTTGAGCAGGCACAGACCTGTGGGAAAGTGGCAAATAAGCAGAGGCTGCAAGAGGAGTATGCTGCACAGTGTGACCATGCCTCAGAGGACACCTCAACTGCAGCAGCTGATTCTGGCAGACACTCATGCCAACAAAGATGGCGGACACTTGGGCTTGGTGCTGATGGCCACAGTGGAGCAGTCAGGGAGACGGATCATCATTGTGGACAAAGGTAGAGATGCCCCCCAATCCCCATTTCCCAGATGTCCTCTCCAGAGAGAGCAAGCTGACTTCACCATGCAATGTTGGAGGAGGTTTGGCTCCTACAAGAGGAGGCCTCCCCCACAAGGGAGCTGAAAACAATACTGTTGGAGGTCCTTCTCCAGATTACATTCCCCCCCACCTTCCTGTAGATTGTTTAGATAGGGAAACAGAGAGGATTCCTCAGATGCGGGCAGATTGCAGGGCACCAGCCCTGGCTGACCAAGGCGGCACAAAAAAAAAATGGCAGTGCAAAAACATACCCATCTCACTCAGCTGCCTCCTATAGGGATTCAGGGAAGTCAAACAGTTCTTCCAATAAGAAAGAAGGGGAAATGTCTGAGGAGGAGATAATAGCCCCAGAGTAGGCCAAATGTCTCTTTAGCTAAGAGGACTATAAGGGACTATTGGGCAAGACTGTGATGGCACTAGATCTCTCAGAGCCCCCAGAAACTGGGGAAGAAGAGACCAATCCTAACACCAAACTCAAAGGGAACAAGGAGCCCCCCCCAGATTATCCAGTGTGGAAAAGTAAGTAGTGCCTTTCTTAGAATTCTTTGAGAACCAAATGATACAGGAATGGGCAAACCTTCCTTCCAATAAACAGAAGCCAGGTTTAGCAAAAAGGGTTTGTTTTTTGCCTAACCGTGCTATGGATCTCTCATAGGTTCCGTTAGCAGATGCGCCTGTCATAGCTCTCTTCTCAGGGGGCTTGGTTACTAAAGACAGGGACAGATCCCTATGTGATCAACTGGACCGTAGATCAGATTACGGCCTCAGAAAATCGCAGGGGGCCTCAGCCCTTGCAATGAGGGCATCAGCCACATCTTCTCTGTTCATGAGGGCTTCCATCGTTTGGGCTAGGATGCTAGTTCATCTGATTCCAGAGGAGGACAAAAAGTCCAGGGAGGGTGTCAGTTGGGTACTTAAAGCGGTCACATTTATGACTGATGCTGGTCTGCACATACTGCGCTTTTCCTTCCATGGCCTGTGGCTCAGACCATGGCAAGCTGATTATCATTCCAATGATAATATCAGTGTCCTTTCCATTTCAGGGAAATAAACTCTTTGGAGACAACCTGGATGACATCATGGTAGAAGAAAGCCATGCCTAGAGCATATAGGAGAGATGATAGAAGGCAGAACCCTTCACATTCCTTCTGAAGCCAGCATACTCTGACCAAAGACCCCCCCCCCCCAAACTGGAACAGAAACAGAAAGGAGAGCAGATGAGGATATTTCCAGTCCAAAGACAGCCAACCTCATCCCTTTAATTCCAATAAGGGAATAAGCCCCCAAGAAATGAGAGCATGACGCCAGATCCCCACAAGTGGGAGGAAGATTAGCCCACTTCCTCCCACAATGGAGTCGGTCCAACATAGACCAATAGGTAATGGACATAATAAAAAAGGGATGTGCAATATAATTCAAATGCCTTCCACTAGACAGGTTTCTCCTATCTCCAGAATCCAAGCAGAGAAACACCTGCCGACTATTAAAGCCATTTGTTACCTAGTAAACTTTGAGGCCACAGAACGGGTCCCTGACTGCAAAGCATCATCAGGGGTTTACTCAGTTTTCTTCAGAGTCCCCAAGAGAAATGGAGACTGGAAGGCAATTCTAGATTTTAAGTACATAAACATGTCTTAGTAAGAACAGACAATATCTCAGTGAAAGCCTACATAAACAAACAGGGCGGGTCCAAGTCTTTGACCCTTTGCACAGAGACAGCATGGCTCATGTGTTGGTCAGGATGGAACTTCAAGTCCATAGCAGCAGAGCAAACCAAGAGCCAGCCAAATGAGCTAGCATACTGGCAAAGCAGACAACAGCTGAACAACAATGAATGGTCTTTCAAGGTGGAGATCTTCCTTCAGACTGTGAAATGCTTTGAAACCCAGCAATGATATCTTTGCCTCAGACCTCAGTCCACCTATTCTGCTAATACCAAAGATGCCAAGGAAACCGAGGCAAGGAAAGCAACCCAGATCTGCATAGCCCCCAACTGGCCACACAAACCCTAGTTTTCAGCATCAAAGAGTTAACAGTAGAAGATTCTTGGCAGATAGCAGTCAGTCTGAACATGCTTCGACAAGGGACATTGTAGCACCCAGACCCAGTATGGCTACACTTGACTGCATGGAAATTGAAAGGGAAAGACTCTTAAGACTAGGCTATTCTACAAGGATCACAAGCCCCGTGCTAGCTTCTAGAAGAGCTCTACACCAAGACTTTGTAACTTTTCATGGAATGCATGTGTGCCAGCTGGTGCAAATGGAAACACCTAGACCCATTTGTCCCTATGTTATACCAAATTCTGATGTTCCTGCAAAATGGTGTTGACCAAAATGTGCTACGTAGATAAGTGGCAGCCCTGGCTACAGTGGTCCCACAGGTCGATGAATGCTCAGTATCGAGACATCCTCACATACTCAGGTTTCTCAAAGGGGTACCCCATTTCAGCCTTCCAGTTGTCTATAGATTTCCTTCTTTGCGACTACGCGTAGTCCTGTCAGTACTCACTCAACCTCCATTTGACCCTCTGAGAGAAGTTCCACTAAAATGCTTGAGAAGGAAGGTCCTGTTTCTAACAGCTGTGACTTCAGCCAAAAAGGTCTTCAAATCAGGAGCTCTATTTACCAGGGAACATCTGTGTGTTTTTCACAGGGACATGTGGCCCTAAGAACAGATCCAGCATTCAGTCCAAAGGTCAACACTTACTACTGCCACTCCCAGGAAATATCATTACCTTCATTCTGCACAAAACCCTCCCACCCCAAAGAAAAGGATTGTCACACGCTAGATCTTTGTAGAGCCCTAAGGACCTACACCAGGTATACAGTATCAATTCATAAAATGGACTCTCTCTTTATCTTAGTGAGCCTGCCCAACCAGGGACAGCAAATGTCAAGAGTAACAGTAAGTAAGACTCTGAGGCAGTGCATCTCATGCGCTTAGCTAGCTAGCAAGCTTCAGGTACCACCTGGAATTACAGCTCAATCCATTCATAGTGCTGCAACTAATGCAGCATTGGATGGTGAAGCTTCCATTGAGAAAATCTGTAAAGCAGCCATGTGGTCATCTCTATTTATGAAATGAATACCCTTACCTCAGCTGACGCAGCCTTCAGAAGGAGGGTATTAGAGCAAGTGGTGCAGGTGGACTGATTTTCCCACCTGACATGGGATATAGCTGCTTTGGGATGTCCCCTGTCAAGATCCCCTCCCCCTCAGAGCAAGAAAGGAACATTGGCACTTACTGTGAGGATTCTTTCTGCTCTGGGGATGGGAGGGCATCTTGTCCCGTGCTGATTTAAGGTATGTGTGGGGGTCGCAACCTCTTTTCTCCATGCTTAATGCCTTCTCATTTCCTGTTCTAAAATATTTCCAGTTTCCTAAAATGTTGAATGGTTTACTTAGCATTTTAGTATAGATGCTGCTTTGTGAGTTATTGAGCTGGGGAAAGTGGGTAACTCCACCCGGGAGACAAAAAGTCTGGAAGAATTTTAATCCTGCCTACTTGATGGACAGATGGGAATCACCCATGTCAAGATGCCCTCCCTTCCTCAGAGCAGAAGTAACCCTCATAGTAGGTGCCAGTGTTCCTTTCTAATCATCCTTTCCCCATCCTTAGCGTGCTCTCCCAAAACCTGGTTTTTGGAAAAGGCGTAGTCCAAGCATGTTATCACACTATCTGCATGGATGGAAAAGCGCATGCTTTCTTGCCGTGCAAAGACTTGGCCTACTGTGGTGTCGTTCTCCTGCCCTGCATCACTGGAGGGCTTTAAAAATATTGGTAATTAATATGGCATTATGGAGCTATATCAAGAAAGTACACAGAAAGCCCCCATAGGGAAGCTCCACTGACAACGTGAATGGCTCAGCATTTGCAATGGAGATGAAAGCAGCATGAATGATCTTCACAGTGTGGGAGCAACTACTCTCTAGTAAACTTGCAGTGCAATCCTAAACAGAATTACTCTTCCAAACCCATTGACTTCAGTGGATTTAGAAGGGCTTAACTCTCCTTGGGATTGTATTATTTGTCAGTATATGAAACTGCACCACCATCTAGTGGAGAAATTGGGGATCTTCCTAATTCACATATCCCAGGGACTGTTTAGTGTCATAGTAACAACTTTGCTTGGGATTATTATGGTATGCAGCCCTTTGTATTGCTTCTGATACTACTGTTGATATTACTACCTGGTGTTTTGTCAAACCCCAGCAGAATTGTGGAAGGTGGTGTCCACTGAAAAATCTGGCCGCATCCACACAATGGCTTGAATCCACTGGAGCTTCTTCATGGTGGAAGCATTTCAGAGGACATTTTGGACTGCAGAGGGAGGAGGGAGGTGAGAAAATTGCACTCCATGGGTGGAAACCTTCTGCCCATGGAAAAGCTCTGTGGATCCAAGTCAAAGAGAAGAGCTTCTTCTTCCTGTTTTTCATTACAGTGTTAAGCTCAGTCACCACCACCCCCAGTTTAAAAAAAGGTAGCAGGGCTAGGGGAGATTTCTGCCTCATGTTCTGGATAGTTGCCAACGGTTCCTATCCTTTGCCCCTACATATTTATTGCTCAGTGTCTGGTGAGGCTTAATCTGTCTTCCTCTATTCAATTTAGAAAGAAATTCTACAACCCCCCCTCCCCCCAGTTGTACACTGAGAATAAAACCTTTTTAAATTGTGCAGGCCTCCCTAAACAGAGTAATTTGTTTTGTTTTAATAGTTGGACTGAGTTTTATTTTTATTTTTATTTTTTTTATTTATTTATCATTCGTCTTGATATACCGCCCTAACCCCCGTAGGGGTCTCTGGGCGGTTTACAATTCTTGGGTGCTAGTCACCTATATCAACCCTAACTACGGCCACATCAGTTCAAGGGAGGGGCTGCCTACCGGCACCCTGGTGGAGGCTCGGTGTCGTTCACTTTTCCCGACTCGGCTTCTTCTTTCGGCTGTGAGATGTCCCAGTGCTAAGGCAGACAGGCGGATGGATGGATGTCCACTGTTACTGTCATAACCACTGTGATATTTAGAAACAGAATACTGTACAATGTATATATAGCTTCATTGGGTGCCTCTAAAGAGACAGTCTTTCTAGGAATAAAAGGAGCAGAAAACAGAATTACAGGCTTTGTGTTGAGTCCGTGCAACTGGAGCTGGCAGTGCTCTTCTTGATGCAGGCCCATCAAAATTAGCATGTAATAACCCTTTTTATTGCACTAGGTATCTTTTTAAAATGTATCTGGGTTTTGAAAAATTGTCATTTCTAAAATCCATCTCAAGTATATGTAAGTAGGATAGAAACAAATAAATCTGTCCAACTGTTGCTATTGCCAAATTCACCTTGGAGAGCTTGGGAGTGATGATCCTTCAGTAACCTGTACATACTGCATATGTATATACTTCCATTTGTTCAAGCATGACTAAGAGGCAACACATCCCATGCACACAAGTTCATTGCCTTCTTCAGTGGAAACTCTACCAGTAGCATTCCTAGCCTACATTTGTATTTGTTCCAGATGTCTTTCCTCCTGCTCAAGGGAAGGGGAAGCATGCAGGCTTCCCAAGGACACAGTAAGTAGTTGATGAAGACACTTTTTTGTTTTTCTCCTTCATAGCAAAAACCGATGTCCAAGCGTAAGTGTGCAGCCTGCAAGATTGTAGTCCACACACCCTGCATAGAACAGCTAGAGAAAGTGAGTAAAATTCTTGCAAACTGCAACTGGTCCAAAAATGGAGATGTCTGTTTGCTGACTGGGACAAGTCACTTTGATTATATTGGTCTAATTTTGATGTAGGTTTGTTTACAGGTTCAGTTTAAAGTGCTGGATTTGAGTTTTAAATTTGTAAATGGATTGGAACTGGGCTCTGCCTACTATAAGCCTGTCGATATACTTAGGCCTACTAGAGAGGTCTTCCCTGGAAAGTGTATTTGACCGTTTTCCTTTTTAATTTTCAGAAGGTAAACATAAATAAACATATGGAGCAGAGGTCCATCAGTGGCTATTAGCCACAACGTATAGATGGAACTCTATGTCTGGGGCAGTGATGCTCTGTATTCTTGGTGCCTGGGGGACAACAGTGGGAAGGCTTCTGGAGTTCTGACCCCTTTGGGTTTTGGCTACTGTGTGACACTGAGTGTTGGACTGGATGGGCCATTGGCCTGATCCAACATGGCTTATCTTATGTTCTAAGGCAAGATGAAGATTATGCTTCCTCCCCCCCAAAGCCTTTGGTGTGAGATAGTGCTGGGGATGTTTTGTTCATACTTAATTTGAGTTTCTGTTGATGTTAGATTCTTATTGCAATTGCTCTGCTAGTTTAGTCTTCGATTTTACCAGTTGATTCTTTTTGTTGATTTATTTTACCTTGTGTTTTATTGGAAGTTATTGTTTACAGGGTTTTACCAGAAAGCAGGCTGTAAGTAAAATTCTAGTCTAGCTGTCTTGCTTAAATGTGTACAGACCTGGTGAGAGAAAACCATAAGTTTTCTCTTTCAGATCTTCATTGTGCACCCTGAATGTAAACCAGTTTGAATTTAGAGGGGTCATACTTCAGTGATGAAGTACATAGCTTCACTGAATGAAGTCACAGGTTCATTCCCTTGCATGTCCAACTTAAAAGGATCTCTGTTAGCAGGGTTGTGAAAAGACCTGTGCCTGAGACATTGGAGAGCTGCTGTTACTCAGATATTAGGCTAGCTTGACCAGTAGTCCGATTTGTTATAAAGCAGCTTCATCTGTTACTGACTGAGAATACAGAAACAAGGAAAAGTCTTATGTTTGTTTAAAGGCTAGCAGATTTATTGTAGCATAAGTTTCCATGAGCTAGAGATCACTTTGTGCATATGTTGGAGCTGGACTCCAGCTCATGAATGTGTCAGCTGGAATAAATGTTAGCCTTCAAGGACATAGAGGTTTATAAAAATTATGCATGGGGTAGAGAGAGAAAGTGGAGAAAGGAAACTTTTTCTTCTGCCAGAATACTAGAATTCACAGGCACCCAAAGAAGTTGATGGGCAGTCTCTTCAGAATAAAGGAAGGTCTACTTCATTCAACAAGTAATTACATTGTTCATTTGACAGCAGTGGCATGTTCTGATCGGTGCTTGTTTAATTGACTTTTAAAAGGGATTAGACAGATGCATGAAGGATAGATCCATCAATGGTAATTAACTGCAATGACTAAATTACTCCACCATATTCTGAAGCAGTAACCCTCTGAACACCAGTACGGGAGAGGGGAGGAGCAGCGGTACAGGAAAGCTTTGGCCTCCATGTCTGTCTTCTGGGGTCGTCTGGTTGGCTACTCTGTGCAGCAGGATGCTGGACTAGATAGTTGATTAGTCTGAGCCAGTATAGCTACTCTTAATTTCTTAAGCTGCCTATCCTTGTTTTCACATGACTACTTCCCCTGGAATTTGTTACCGTGACTGAGACTATTCAGTTAGTCCTTGAGATCTGTTTTGTCCAAAAAGCACCCTCTATTCCTTTTAAATCTGCAGATAAATTTCCGCTGCAAACCTTCCTTCAGGGAATCTGGATCAAGGAATGCACGAGAGGTAAGAGAGTTGTATGAATTACTTATGCTACAGTGGCATAAGGGAACTGTCTGCAGACGCAGCTGGATGCCAGTAGATGATGATGATGATGATGATAATGATGATGATAATGATGATTTCGATTTATTGATCGCTTTCCCCACAAGTGGCCTCAAAGTGATTTACAGTTACTCTTTAGACAGGGGACTAACAATGTTTCATAGGGGACGCCTGGTTAGAGGTATTTTGGAAAAAGACAAATACCCTGTAGCTGGGTCTCCAGTTGTACGTCAGCTTGGTCTTCAGAAACTAATTGCAAAGTAAGACATGTTTGGGCAATAGAAAAAGAGATGTGGGGACTAATTCCTCCTCAATATTTGTTTAAGACTCTGTACACTGTTGTAGCATGAACAAGAAATAATCATTTTTGACTGCAGTCATGTGCACATGTACCTGGAAGTAAGTCCTACTGAACACCATGGGAATTTACTTCGAAGTAGATCTGCCTAGGCTTGTTCCCTTTAGTCAGCTGATATCTGTTACCCCAGGTTTGTTCATACACAAAGCTAATGGCACTTATGAAGAGATGAATGCATGCTTAGGAGTGCATCGCCACCACAACAGACCCATTTTGAGAACTGTTCTTAGTTACAACATTACTATATTGTGGTACTATATAGTGGTAAGAGATTAAAATGGCTTCTTATTACAAAGTTTTGCCATTAATCCTTCCCCCTATCCTTCCTCTCAGGAGCTCAGGGAGTGTTTTAACACCTGTTCTGGAGTATTTAGTTTTCTAGAAATGCATCCTACCTTATTTAAATACCTTCACTGACAATACCAACAGTTCTTGTGCTCATCACATTTAATGGTTGGTTTTGTAAGCAATCAAAACTCATAATTAATGTTTGATATCACTCTCCATGGTCCTGAAAAGTAAAGGGTGGAGCCTATATTTTTCTCGAGACTAAATTAGATTTGATGTTGAGAGATCCATGCAGGTCTCCTGTATGTTGTTGGTATGTTCCCCCCCCCCCAACCAGGGCAAAACAATTCCTATAGGCTGTTTTGAGGGGTGAAAAGTAACCTCTCTTCCTCCCTTCCCCTTGCATAAATCATAGCTGTGGTCCAAGTTACCCCCAGCTGATGTTTACCAATTAAAAAGGTTCAGATCTGTTTACAAATCTCCCAGTGTCACATCCAGTTCAGCCCTCAGAAGAAAAAATGTACAGCATAATGTGTGAATGGCGAAACACATACAGTGGAGTATATTGAATTTGATGGGGCAAAGAATATAGTTTTCAGTCATGTTAGTTTGATTCAAAAACAGATTACTTATTTTGTCCTTGTGAAGGGCACAGTAAATGCCAGAGGGAAACCTGGTTCCAGTCTCTTCTGTCCTCCTTTTGAACTAGTATTCGCCTTTGAGGCTGCCTCTTGGAGGCATTCTGAAGCAGGTGGGTGGTGAAGGGATGACTTTCTTCTGGGTAATCGGGTGAATTTTAGAGCACAACTGCTGTGTACTCCAGCACAGAAGTGTGCTCAGGGAACAGTGTACATCTCTCTTCACTCTTTTTTTCCTCCTCTTGAACTTGTTCACATGTCTCTTTGTAGCCTACAGTGGTGCGGCATCATTGGGTGCACCGGAGACGCCAGGAAGGGAAATGCCGACAGTGTGGAAAGGTGAGGAATAAGGTGTGCACAAGCACACACTGCTTGAAGATCTAGATCAAGAAATATATGCCTTGTTCTCACTGACTGATAAGCCACTCAAGCTAGTACTGCAATCCTGTTGATGGGAGAGTACAGTTGGGGTGTGTGTTCTCAGAAGATACTGCTTTACATGTTTCCAGGCTTCTGCCACTTCAGAATTAAGAGGCAACTGATAGCCCATAAAGGATTCGAGGCTTTAAAGAGTAGCACAGGATACTTCTGGCTGACTTTCTCCCATAGTTAAGCATCCACTTTTCTGAAAAGAAGCCAGACTAGCACCTCTACTGTGGTTTGACTGTTCATAGATAAGAACTGTGTGTGTGTTGAAGGGGGCTTGTGTACAAAAAGCTCATGTTGCAATATGTTTATTAATTTTTAAGGTGCCACAGGAGCAGCCTTTGTTGTTGTGTTTACTTAATGGACCATGAACTTCTTGCTGCAACACAAAAGGAAATCAGATAGTGATGCACAGCTTCCTCCTTTTCCCTGCAGGGTTTCCAGCAGAAATTTGCCTTTCACAGCAAGGAGATTGTAGCCATCAGCTGTTCCTGGTGTAAGCAAGCAGTGAGTGCAGCATGGACCTGTTTGCTAAAAAAATGTCTTCACATTTTAGACACATGCACTTCTGCCTCTCCCCCCCCCCACATATAAATATGCTTTCTAAAATTTGTACTCTCAGTCCTCAACTGTAGGCCAGTGAGGGAGGGTTGCCATTGTTGTTCCCATTCTACAGATACACAAGGAAAGTTAGAGAGGTTTTTTTAGGCATTTTATCCTGCATTTCCCCCCAAGAAGGACCTGAAGTAGCTTACAGAAATAGAGTTTAAACAAAGAGAACAAATGGAAGTGCAACTAGGGGCCATCCTAGTATGTTCCTCAATTCCTTGGGCTGGCTCATTGAATGCCCCAGGCTGTGGGCCAGGAGCCCTTTGGCCCTTGCCAGAAGGCTCATGTTCTGGCTTATATACCTGCGTCAGGAAAGCCTAGATGTTATGCATCTGGCAGAGATGTTACCCACAGTTCTCCTCCCTTGCTGAAAGAACGTCTGGCCATGCATGGGCTGAAAGAATGGCCATGCACAGGCCATGCGCAGACTGAAATTTCCTCCAGGCCATCCACAATCAGGAAAACTGAATGAGTGACTGAAACCACATCTCAGCATCTTGCCCACTCAATTGTTTCCCTAACTCCCTTTTTTCTCTGTTACTCTGAGGTGGTAGAGTGGACTACATCAGATATGCAGGGCTGTTTTCAGTGCCAAATGATCAGCTCAAGCAGCCAAGGGCACCAGCCTGCCACTGGGGCTCACCTTGTCCCCAGCAGTCAGTTGCGTGGGAGGAAGTGATGGGTGTGGTTTGTGGTCACTGTAGCCTCTGGAGCGCCTCTTGGCCCTAGCCGGCAGCAGCACAGAAGGACATGACAGCTGGTGTGACCTGCACCTTTTGACTTGACATGATTTACATAGAGCATTCAGAAATGTGTCCTCCTCCCCACCTACAGTCTGAAATTATATAGCCCATTGTACTGCCTCAGAACTATACCACCCAATTTCCAGCTCATTCTGTCTCATGTATTGGCCAGGCTGATAGAAGGCTGTGATCACCCTTGGCTGCCATAACCATTGATAGGTTCTGTTGCTTCCCTTCCGTTTCAGTATCACAGTAAAGTTTCATGCTTCATGCTGCAGCACATTGAGGAGCCCTGCTCTCTTGGAGCACATGCTGCAGTTGTTGTCCCTCCCACCTGGATTCTACGGGTGCGGCACCCCCAAGTACGTCACTCCTTTGAATTTCATTCCTCTTTAAAAGCAGTGATCCTGCTTAAGCCAACTTCTCCATTACATAGCTTTTGTTGTTGTTTTCGCTAGAATCCACTCAAGTCAAGTAAGAAAAAAAAGAGGACCTCATTCAAGCGGAAATCCAGCAAGAAGGGACCTGAGGTTAGTGATGAAGGGGGGCTGAGAAGTGATAGGGTGGAAGGTGTGGATGGAGGAAGCAACAGAGAAAGTACTGGACAATGGTTTCCAGTGCTTTGCTTACAAATGTTGTTAATGTACTGTAGAAAGCAGAAGAGATGCTTCTGATTCATAGGTACATTCTGATCAGCATGGTCCAATTCAAATTAATTTAGAGACCAAAAAAAATAAAATCTAGATCTTGGGGTCTTATTTAAAAACAAAATGCGAAGATGTTAAAGGAAAAGGAAGAAATGGGATCAAGTGAGTTAGATGATATAGTCTCCGCATATCAAAATCCTAAAGACTGAGGTATCTGAAGTTCCCATCAATTTCATAGAAACAAGGAGATCACATGAAACATCCGAAGGGATCTGAGATGAAGGAAATATTCTGAACAGAAGCACATCTATAGATATTTGTGTTGCAAACATTATGTGTAGGAAAAATAATACAGGTTTGGGTGAAAAGTAGGATACAATAAAAGATTGTATACAAATGTTTGAGAACAAACATTGAGTAAGAATATAAATAAAATAGTCTTGAATCCATTGACAGTGCATATAAATACACTGTTAAAAAGATCTGTGACAAATCTATTGTGGGTTCTGGAACAACTGGAATTGTAGTCTAATTTTGACACACTCTAATTTTGACATACTGATTTCTCCTTAGTTGTAGAATGGCGGGTCTCCAGTAATCATTAGCATTTGCTTCTGTTGTGTGATCTCAGCTCCTTGTTTACATGGACATCTTTCAAGTAAAACAGTAATAGGAGTCTCATGGCATTGTAAAGACTAGCAGTTTTTTCTTAAAAGCTATTTTTAAATTAATCTTTTGAGATACAAAGTAAGAAATAATTAAGTATATGGGGAAAATAACTCAAATAGGAAAGAATTAGTCCAATAGTTATCAGGGGGATCAAAGACTAACAGATTGTATGCTGCTGTATGACTCCTTTGTTGTAGCAAGAACAAAAAATTAACTTGGCCATTCTCCTGGAATTCTTTCAAATGATCAGCTAGCTTCTGACTGCTATCAGTGAGAAACTGCAATAAATTAAATGCTGACACCCATGAAACAAAATTCTGTATTAATGATCACCACAGACTAGTAATTCCATTGAAAGATTGTGTTTTTAAAACTAAGGAAAGGTGCTAATTAACTGCCTTGATACTGCAGAGTGAATAAACCCTAAATAATTCTGATTCTATGGGATTCAGGGCTCAGGGAATCTTTGCTGCTTTACTTTGTAAACATGAAGGCAGAGTAGCCCAGAGTGCTCCTTAGAAAGGCTGAGGCAAAAGTTCAAAGGAGAAAAAGATGAAAACATCTTCACATTTTGTGTTAAAGCTTACAAGTTGGATGGGTAGAAGAACCTTTGGGCCCACTGTATTTATTCTTTTTCTCTAGTCCATAACAAGAAATGAACATAAAACACCAGGGTGGTTCTTTTTTAAACACACACACACACAAAACTCTGCTCAGTTTGTCAGCTGGGACAAATCACATGCACATTTGTCTAGTTTGCTTGGGTGGTTCTAGTAGATACCATGGAAATTGTGTCCTAAAAAAACCTGAGCCCCATAGGCAAGAATTCTGTTTCTTTGGCATTCAAAGATATGGGTCTCTTTTTCAGGAGGTAGAAGAACCTTTGGGCCCACTGTATTTATTCTTTTTCTCTAGTCCATAACAAGAAATGAACATAAAACACCAGGGTGGTTCTTTTTTAAACACACACAATCAAAACTCTGCTCAGTTTGTCAGCTGGGACAAATCACATGCACATTTGTCTAGTTTGCTTAAGTGGTTCTAGTAGATACCATGGAAATTGTGTCCTAAAAAAACCTGAGCCCCATAGGCAAGAATTCTGTTTCTTTGGCATTCAAAGATATGGGTCTCTTTTTCAGGAGGGGCGATGGAAACCATTTGTCATCAAGCCCATCCCAGCGCCACTCATGAAGCCACTATTGGTGTTTGTGAACCCAAAGAGTGGTGGAAATCAGGTAGATTTGTTTTTTCCTGGCACTGACTACAGACCATGTGGTGATCTTTTCTTGTCTTGAGAGCAGTCCTTCTGTAATTCATTTTCTTATTTTCGTCCTCTATACTTTTAGGGAACAAAGATCTTCCAGTCATTCATGTGGTACCTCAACCCTCGACAAGTTTTTGATCTCAGCCAAGGGGGCCCCAAAGAGGCGTGAGTACCAGCAGGAGCGCTCTTAGCTCAGTTCCCGTCTTTGTTGGAGGCTATTTCATTTCTAGCTGTCCAACAACTGAAAATCCTAGGAAAGAGTTATATGTTAATTTTGTATCCTGCCTTTGGCTCAAGGAGCATGGAATAGCATTTTAGTTTCATATCAATGAATGGTCTTGGGAGTCCCTGATATTGTGACAATGTTCAGATTAAGTTAATGTGGAGTCAGACCAGGGTGGGAAAGCATTGAAAGCTCCATATTAAGCCAGTCTGGACTGTGTAAAGAATAGCAGGACAGAAGGAATAAACAATTCTGTGGGGTATGAGAATGGGGCAGGTTAAGAGAGAGTGATTTTACTGAGGCCTCCAGCTGACCTGCAGGGCTAAAAGTGGTTTTTCCAGATCCATTCCAATTACCGGTATTTAGCTACTGCACTGTCGTTCAGACATTGAGTACAGAACTAAACTGAATTATTTTCATTATATCTCCTAACCTGGCCCTCTTCTGTTTCTTGTAGTAGCATAGGTTTAATCATTTTGAGCTGAGCCTGTGGACCCAATGCTCAGACATCTGAAATATTTATTTATTTATTTATTTATTTTGGCTTGTATTCCACCCTCCCTGCAAGCAGGCTCTGAGCGGATGACAACAGGAGTTAAAACATTTCACAATAAGAATTAAAACATTTCATAATAAATTTCCACAATAAATAGTTAAAACAGATTAAAACAAAGCTATAAACAAGACAGATGGCACAGCAGCTTGGTATGGTAGTCATGAAAACTGGAGCCGCTAGGCCGTAAACCAGATTGTGGGTCTTCACCTGATGGACCGTTCAAAGATGGAAGGTTCAGCATTTTTTCAGCAGGGGAGGCCAATGGATGGAAAAATTGGACGCCCACTGCCTCACCCAAAGGCCTGGCAGAACAACTCCGCTTTACAGGCCCTGTGGGACTGTAATAGGTCGCAAATCCAAAGAATAATTTTTCTGTCTCAAAACATTGATATCCCCCCATTTGTGACCTAGGTATAGAACTTTTTCCACCAAGTATAAGGACATACAAGTATAAGGATGTATTAATATGCAAGGCTGAGGGAGGGTTCCAAAGACAGAAGAAGCATTCTTAGCTTAGCTAGCCTAGATGCCTGCCCACACCTCCAAGTTCATTACAAAAACATTAGTAAAATGTCTACCATCTGACTGTCAGCTGCCATGATGCTTTCCTATAAGCCGTGTATGCAAGGAACAAAAAATAATTCCTGAGACTATCATCTTAACAGTAAGAGCCACAGCTAACTGCGGGTAGGCAAAGGATATTATGAAAAATCCTAGGCAGAGATGTAAAAAAGTTAAAGGTTATTTACTGTGAAGGGAAAAACTTAAGGAAAATTTACATGGCATTAAAATATACCAAAAAAAATCTAAAATGGCAAAAGGTGTAAGTCAAAAAAAATAAAATTCCTACACTGACAAGCTGTCAGGGCACAAAACTTGGTTACTTTATAAAGCCCTTCTGTTCAAGCCATTTCAAAATGGGCTTCGTTGCATAGTTTTTCAGAATAATGGGCTTACAACAATCAAGAAGTTAAATTTGTCCCCAAGCCCATCCTAAACTTCTAAGATCTCAGGAAAATAAAACAGCAGTGCCTTATTTAAACCTTCCCAAATGATAAAATACTGCTAAGTCAGGGTTGTCTGAGAAGCTTTTCCTCAACCCTTTGTCTTATTGGCTAAATGACTGCCAGTCACAAAGAATATTGAAATCAGGTTTTGAAATGATTTATAAATGTTAAGAATCTTCTCACCTGTGGAGGCAACTTCATGATTCTTATGGGACATTTTAGCAGGAAAGAAACAGAAGGTTCGGTTTTGAATGACAAAACGCATTTTGTATTCACACACTGGCAGTTTTCTGATAAGGGGGAAGGGAAGGTGCATGTAGTAAAGAAACAGCGCATATTTGCTCATCTGGACTTTAAAAATCAGCTACTAAAAGTTGTGACTTGCCACATATGGACTCTGTGGCTCATCATTGACAGCTGTACTTCCAAAGACCTTAAGGGAATGAGAGCCACCCCGTGCTGATTTATTTTTTCATCCCGTGGATAGGGTTGTGATTTACACGTCTTATTCTGTTCTTACTCTCTAAACTACTTGTTCTGGCTTCTGTGCAGGCTGGAACTGTACCGTAAAGTGCATAACTTACGGATTCTGGCATGTGGGGGAGATGGTACGGTAAGTGGCCATGAACCCGTTAGGTCTCTATGATCTTTGATGGAACTAGACTGGAACAGCAGAACTTGGATCCATGCCTAATGCTCTTTCAGGGATATGGTGATTTGTTTTGTGGAGCAGCTGTCTGTTCCTCCCACACAGCCTTTGCTGCATGGGCTGGTAACTACTTAGTACTGATTCTTAATATTTCTCCTCTTCTTCCAGCTGACCAACTGTAGTCTTAGTTGGCTTCCTTTTACGTTCACTCCCTCCTGCTTTAGCAGCTCCTCTGTAGCCCTGAGATAGGCAGTGTTTTAAGCTTCTCAAATTCCTATTTCTGTTACACCCCTGGAAGTGTGCTTCCTCCTTCGGTGGTGGTCTTGGTATATAATGCCATAATTTCATGCAAATGGAAGTAGAGGTTCTGAGATATAAAGGTTGACTCATGCTGAACCTAGACTGCAGGTGCTACATAAGACAGAAGTGCCCACCTTGGAACTGGTAAGAATATTTAAAAGTGTAAGACACTAGCCCAATACACATGACCCCACTTCATGCGTTGAATGAATGCACTGAGAGGGAGAGCACCCATGAGCATTGTGGCTCTTCCCCTGCATGT